GGGTCGAAAAAAAGAGCAGCCCGAAATCCTCTTGGACGCTTTATGGCCTTTCGCTGCTTCTTTCCCAGTCTGTTTCTTGGGTCTCTGCGTTCCGCACTGTCTGCAGTGGGTTCGACCCCCCCCACCTTAACCAAGTCGAAACATTTCAACCTATCCAAGAAATACTAAGCGTTTCAAGTGGCATGCAAGTTAAGCGAGAACTTCTTCAGTGTTCCTGCCATGAAACCGCAGGATTTGCTTGCAGCCTCAGCCAACCACATTGCAAACTCAAGGCACGAATGCCGTACAGCTTTCAAGTCAAACATTTCTTGAAAGGCCTTAACAAAGCATGATGATCGGTTGGAGGAACATCAGCACCACAGAACATACCGTCTATGACATCTTGGAATTTTGCACAGAACTCTTACTCTGCTGTTGTCGGTTTTTATCGCTGAAAGGTTGTAAATGGACTCCATGTGATCACTGAGCATTCCAAGCATTTGAGATTCGTCTCGGCTGTGATTCTCCCCTAATTATGTGAAGGGCACACTTGCTGCCTGGTGCATGTTGCATCTTTTTTGTTTCCATTGTTGGATCCTATTGACTTTTGCCTGTCGATCAACACAATCAACTGACTCAGAACCGTGTCTACGCATCGCTTGCAACATTCTAGATCACACTGCATGCTTGCACCCAAACGCAGTACATTACGGACAGTTGCTTGCAATTGTCTACCCATTGCAATCTTGTAGATCCCAGTGTTCAGCTTTTCTTCCGAAGCTCGTGCAAACACTTCAAAACATGTTGGCATGTACGCTCATGTTTGGATGAGCTCCGCTAACGAACCTGCTTAACTTTTCTAAAAGCTGGCCTCTGGTTGATGGGACAACCTGGTCCGAAATACATGTTAACATACTCGTAGCACTCCGACACGCGACATCCCAAACTTGTTCTACATTTAAGTCCTCAGCCGCCTGAGCTAGCTCTCCAACGTAAGACTGCAAAATTTGTGAGCACAACGCCTCGTGCTCATCCCACTGTTGCTTAGAAGCAGGTTTGGGAGGCAACTTCCATTTAACATGAGGCTTCGCATACAACACTTTGGCGGAGAATGGTGCAACGTCAAGCGTCAGAATGCATGGAGAATGATTTGGGAGACGAGCATGCCTGTACACGGACACGTCCATAAACAAAGGCAGGGCATGTTTATTTAGAAGAAAGTAAGTGTAAGAAATCCGTGTTTCGCCACTACCAGTCAACCCGGGTTTCCAGTTTCAGCAGTCTTGCCCAATCCTGTCTGTTGTTCATGATGCACGTGGAACCACTCATCAGACAACAACACAAAACTGTAGAGGGAAGCTGGGGATTGGAAATCACCGCGCGCAACAACCGGTTTCGGCCCCCAAAAGGCAACAATCGTGAACAACACATCCATACTTTCGGCGAGCAGCAGGCTCGCTGCTGCCCCTGTAGGCAAATAACAGATGATGACGTAAGCACCAGCACTGCCAATTGCAATCCACAAGCATTGACAACAACATGCTAGGGGAGTGGGCCATACCTTGTCGGGTCCTGTTCACGATCGTGTGGTAGTGCGATGTTTGTTGCCCACAAGGTCGAGTCTTCTGTTGTTGACACATGGCCTGTCTTGTCGTACAGAAAGCCTCGAGTGTCGAAAACCCAAGGCTTCAACGTGCAATCTAAACTAATGCCGCCGTAAATCATATCGCCGCCATGGAGTCGGGTGACAAGCCCAAGAAAGCTCACAGGAAGAGGTCGCCTGGAAGTGCAGTCCGGCATCAGCAGAGATTTTACGAAGTTTTGGCAGGGCAGCCGGGACTAAAGCGAAGAAGAAGAAAGACAAGAAGCAGGTCGGGAAGGCTCCGTGTGTTTGGTCTCCACATTCCTTCATCACGAGGCATCAAACGTGCATCATAAGCAACGTGGTAGTTCAGGCTTGGGCATGGCATTCGTGTGTCCCTGCTGCTTGCAAAACTTTCTTGCTAAGCGGGACTGGGTGCTGAAACACTCTGCTGATTATGGTACTTCGCCACGAAGCCAGCTTTACATGTCGACCGGCGTACAGACTCTTGTTGCAAATGCAGTAAAGAGACACGATTCTCGGGCAGCAAATCTCGACCAGACATCGATCTCATCATGCTTGGCCCGGGAGGCAGACAAGCACAATCCCAAGGCTCACACTTTTTCCGGCGGCACTCGAAGTGTGACTTGCCCACAGCTTGAACTCGGGTGTTCCTCAGGCCTTGGGCCCGAGGCACCATTTTGAGAGCTGCTCGGCTAAGGTACAAAAGCGAGTGCAGTACACGTTGGAGAGGCAGGCCAAGAAGGACAAAGCGCGCAAAGTGGACAAGAATCCGGAGGTTGGGTGATGGAGTCGAGTGCCTGCTCCCAACAGCAGGCCCCTGTTGCCCCCGACGAATCTGTGAGGTGCCTCCGCCCTTTGTTGTCGTCGTGCAAGGGCCACCAGGCCGGGTGGCAAAGCCGCGAAAGCGTCCAGGATCAACTCGGAGATTGCGGGATCCGTCTTTACTGAAACATTTTCTTCAGGTAGACCTTTTGGTTTGGTATGACCCCAGCCGGGCGCAGGCGTTGGCAAGACCACGCTTGTGCATTCGCTGGTGAAACACTATGCGAAGCGTGAGTCTTACATCCGTCAACCGGAGCCCGCAGGAAGATAACTTCGCTTTCTCTTCGCGTATGAGAGATATGCTTGATGCTTTGCAGCTTCAGGCAGCGCCTGATCCAAATGCGCGGACCTGTCCGCCCGCTCAGCGATCTCCGTTTTGGCATTGGGCATGCTTGAAAGCTCCATAGCTGGCGTGACGCGTGACTTCAAAGGTCACATTGGTTAGCGGAAGACATCGACGCTTAACGATCATCGAGTGTCCCCAGGCCTAATCGCAGCATTCGTGTGCTTGAAGTCTTCGATATAACAATCTCGTTGTTCTTTTACCATTATTGCGATTTTCAACAACCTGTTGGATGCTGCAGGAAATGTCAGCAATGTTGGATTTGGCGAAGATAGCCGATCTGGTGCTCGCCTCCGCGTCTGCAAAGCCAGCTCGTTCTTCTCTCGGAAGAGCAGTGCAGCTTTCCTAAGGTGCTGCTGTTGGTCGATGCGTCGTATGGTTTCGAGCTGGAAACCTTTGAGTTCATCAACATCCTTCAAGTGTACCCGGCTCAGAGGGGTGTGGAGCGGCGGTCGCTGTTGGAGATGCGGGCTGTGGGGCCCCAAGGCATGGCTTTCCCAGGGTCCGTCGCCAAGCGCGGGACGTTGCTGTGGAAGTGGAGAAGCCTTTCCCGGTTGTTCCCAAGGTCATAGGTGTCCTGACACATTTGGATGCCTTCCGGGAAAACAAGCAGCTTCGAAAGGTGGCGTGTCGTGCTAAACCGCTCCATCCTCACAAACTTGATAATTCGAGGGGTCGCGTGCTTGAACACATGTACAGGTCAAGAAAAGCATGAAGCACCGGTTCTGGTTCCAGCCTCAGACCGATGACACCCTTGCGTCTAGGAGGCTTGACCACCCCAGGCAAACCCCAAGCACCGAATCTGAAATGCCCCACGACGTTAGCGATGCAAGGACGGAGCTTTACGACGGCGCAAAGTTGTTCCACCTCAGTGGCCTCCAATACGGGCGGGCTGCTCCGTTTTTTGATCTCGGGGCTGCAGAGGTTCGCAGGTTCGGTAGATCCGAGGCTTCCACCAGACAGTCTTGTGATGAATCGTGGATGAAGCATTCTCCAACCCGATGTGCTTGGGGTTGCTCGGCTTTCCCAGATTTGGAAGTAGTCCAGTTGGACCTGATAGTCGAAGGTGTCACTCCTGGTGTGGTTCGCAAGCATACATACTGCCAGGCGCTATCATCGCGTTGAGATTCAGAACCTGGCACGTTTCATCGCTGCCGCAGTCCCAGTCTTGATCCCATCGGGCCGTGAGCCTTAGAGCACTGACCCTTCCGATGCGCCAAGTGCCTATGTGCCTGGAACCTCCCGCCCCAACTCGCCAGGCAAGGAGGCCTACGAGGGGTAGTTGACCCCCTCACCCGCACATCCCCCAGCCGAGGTTCAGAAGGTGCCTCTCCTCTCCTGGAGGCAAAGCCATCCCTACATCCCAGCCCTTCGGCGGGGGCCTAAGGGTGCGAGACCGAGGGTCAAGGGCTCAGGCTTGATGTTAGAAACAGGGTTCTGGGCATAATCAAGCTTTCGCGCTGGTGCGTGCGTCAGAGTGCAGAGTGGCATGTGAGATACTTGGGATCTGCTCTTCGGCGACTAGCTGCCGCTGAGGTTTTTGGTTGTGTTTGTTTCGAAATTGCTTGAATGAGCTGTGTTCGAGAGGCTGGGTTGAGGAAGTTTTTGGCAGACCTCACGCCTCAAGTGCCTAAAGTTACCAAGGCCCCCAGCAAACTCCAATAGACCTGGCGAAGTCTGGCTTGTCAATCCTTTCAGAGATGGCTACCAGGAGGTCAGGCCTTTCGTTTTTTGTTCGTAGGGTCCAATGCAAAGCAGAGCTCTCGGATTGATTATCTCACGAATCTCATGGTTTCGGAGACAGGTTTGAGGCTTTGGGGGATTCTGGTTACCGCCTGCAGAGGCAGGTGGCAGTTCGGGCGGCAGTCGTACCCCAAGGTCTGGGGATGTCTGGGGTGCCCGAAATCGGCAGTTTTGAATCCTAAACAGCTTGAAGACATTGCGAAGCCGAAGCCTGAGACAAGGTGGGAGGATAAGACAGATCCGACCAGCTCGGAGACTGCTCCAAGGCGGACTCCCTCAGTTCCTCAGCCCCTGGGCTCTCGCACTTTTGTCAGCCTTTCGGCTGAAGCCGTGAGCTGTTGGGAGCGGGTTTCAAGTGTACCAGCCTGCCGCGATTCGGGGCATTTATCCGCCTTTCCTGGGGTTGCTTATGCTGCCTCCGAGCCTTCGAGCCTAAGCCCTCGGAGATCTCTGAGCAAAAGTGCATCTGGATGTCGCTTGCATGGTGTTCTCAGGCGGCTGGACCTCTATGGCTACGTAGGGTGCTCAGCAGTCAGAAGCCAGTGCCCGGCTCCGTCCATCCTCCTTCGAAAAGGTCTACGGAGGCCGTCTGCGCGAGGGCTTCGAGGCGCTGACATCCTTTTGTAGGTTTTGGGTTCTTCGCAAGAAAGGTTCAGGAACCAGGTCGGGGCAAGAGGAGTTGAAGGCCATCCCTCGAGTATCCATCGCTCCGCTGCCTACCCTCCCGTCGGCTGCCACGACCTGTGACCAGGTGCATCTTCCGGGTGTAGGCGCGGGATGCGGGCCTTTTCCTTCGGACTTTGGAGCTTTGGATTGCGGGATGGATGGTCGTCGGGCACAGCTACCGTGGGCTTCAGGGCCATGGCTTTGCAGAAGCTCGACGTCTCAAAAAAGCCAATCTGCAGACCCGAAGAGGTCCGATTCGAAGAGTGACAGTATTGACGTGACGACAACAGGAAAGTCCAGACACCACGATAGGGGATAGCCAGGACTAACGTAGAAATGGGTGGACATTGAGACATCGGAGCACAGGCACAGGACACCAGGGAAACAGCCAAACCTCGATTACGATCGAGACGCGCCGGGACGGATTTAAATGGCGATGGATGGAGACGCGAGGACGCGAAAATACTGCGAGCGAACATCCACTAGCCGGCACCTGGAAACAGATTGGCATAGATTGGCCAAAAGACACTAGAACACCGGGAATAGTACCGGCACACGTGATAATCGTATGATCGTGACATCGCGACGTGGACATCGGAACACAAAGTAACCGGGGCGCCGGACTACCGGTACAGGGTTAAGATAATAGGAGTCATAAGTATATACCAGGAAAAGATACACCAAAGCGTCCACATTACAGAGGAGTGTAGCTTGGCTCAATGCAGCTGTTTTGATCTAACGGTTACGGCAGCATAGTGCAGCGAAGTGTTAGATATCATCACATACTGTAAGTGGTTGGTTGTTTGTCAAAGCGTGTAGTAAAACATGTGGGGGCCGCTCTCTGTTGCAAAAAACGAAAGTATAGAGCAAACACATCGAGTCGAGCAGAGTACAGCATAGTATGCTGTCAGTGTAGTGTAGTAGTAGCAGTAGCAGTAGCAGTAGCAGTAGTAGTAGTAGTAGTAGTAGTAGTAGTAGTGGTGTAGTGAAGTATAGAACAGTATACAATGGAACAGTAGTGCAGACTAGATCATGGTCAGCTCAGCAAGACACATTGTGCGACATTTTGCTGTAGAAAGCCACTGCATGCCATGCATAGTACTGTGCTTGTGTCGGTGTGTGCATGCTTGCATGCACTGATGTCCGCAGCTGCACACATGTAGATCGATTGCTGGATTGATAGATCGGTAGATCGACAGATGGACAGATGGATGGATTCATGGCTGGATGGATGGATAGATGGACAGGTAGATAGACAGACAGGTAGACAGGACTAGATAGGCAAAACAAAAAGTAGTTAGGCAGGAAGGTGCTTGGGTAGCTAGCTAGCGGCTAGCGAGGTAGGTAGGTAGGCAGGTGGGTAGGTAGGTAGGTAGGTAGGTAGGTAGGTAGGTAGGTAGGTAGGTGGGTAGATAGATAAACAGATGGCTCATGTGTGGATGCACAATCGCCTGCCGACATACGAGTTTTGTAGCAGGCGATTTCAACATCAGCTCCATCAAGCGCCTCCCCGACCCGTGAGCTCGGCATGTCTTGGCGGGTGGATGCAGATTTTCCCCGACCCATGAGCCCGAACCCCTGAACCAACAAGATTTATGTGTTTTTTTTTCCCTCTTCCTTGTCATCTTCCGTGCTTATGTCCCGGCCTCTTTGCGGCCTCTTCCGAACCTCTTCCAGGTTTCCTTATACTATCTGGGGTCTGGGGTTTAGGATTTGCGCAGATTTACGAGTCCGGTTTGGGATGGCGGGCGTCCAGGGCAAGGAGGATCGTACAAAAAGGCCGAGAAGAGGCCGGAAAGCTCACCAAGTCGAGGTCTGACAGCTGCCAAAAAAACCCAAAGCGATGCTTGTACGTAGGGCATTCGCTTCGTCAAGGCACTCGGAAACGCGTCGCATCGCGTCGCTGTGTGCAGCTGAAGTTTCAACTCCCTCGTCGCCACCGATCTCAGCACAGCCCAGCCACAAAATCGCATCATCAGGGCAAACCAGGCAGCTAAAACGAATTACATGAGCACCTGAGACTGTTCCGCCTCATGAGCTAGGTGGGTGGGCTGGAAAGCCTGAGCCTGGATGCACGGCAAAAAGCGCGTGCGTTGCAATGGAAACACTTTACTCCAGGACAGTAGAGACCTTAAAGGCGCTTACAACATCTAACAACAAATAGGCCCCTGCGGGAAACCGTGGCAAGGTGCCCGCCGCCCATGGAGACGGAGGCGGAGCGAAGAAGAGCGAGCAAGAAAACTGACGAGAAGTCTGGCTCTTGGCCAAAATCTTCGAGGTTAGAGTTACAGGTTGCAGAGTTGTATAGTTTAGAGCCTAATAGTTTACGGAACTGGTTTACGTCCATGGTCTTTAGGCTTTCGGGTTGAGTTGCGTTCGGCTGGGGATAAGTAGGAGTCGAAGCAACACCTCCAGGATACATCCCTCAGCGGAGACATTACCTTCCTCAGTAGTTCTGATGGGAACATCCTGGTCCACGACGTGATTGCCCTAGGCCCAAGAAGAATGCGCTCCGGACCCTGGCCGAACGACATCGCATTGTCTATGCCCCGGGCTCTGACATTGGCAGCATCACCGTGGACTCCGAGGCAGTGGAGACATGTGGAGACTACGGCATACTGTGTTGACCCTTATTGCACGTTGTACTTAGTACCTTTTGTAACCTTTAATCCTTACAGTATCCCTGAAAGCAATAAGCTTTAGTATGTCACAGCTTGCAAGGATTTCTGTACAATCTAGGTCACCTCGAAGCCAAGAGAGGGCAGGCTTTCGCTTGCGGCACAAGTGTGCGAGGGTCATTGTGGGTCTCAGCGTGCGAAAGGATTGATTGATGCAAGTCTATAGGTGTGGGGGACCCACAGATAATTCAGAGAGTGTCTAGACTCTAGAATCTGTGTGGCCCTCACTGTCCGGCCTGTCTCGAGATAGAGTGCACTGGCAGGCGATGTACATTTATGTGCCCGACCAGCAGGCACGCTGGTCAAGCTTCCTGCTGCCTGCTGCGCGTTGGTTGTGCAGGATAACGGATGTGCATCATCGTCGTCTTCACCGTTGTCCTCCTCCTCCTCCTCCTCTTCCTCATCCTCCTCATCCTCATCATCATCATCATCACCCGTAGATGATGCTCTGGGTTGCGCATCCCGAAGTCTTGCTTCCATTGAGCCGTGTAAGACGTCGAAATCTAGAGCTCAAATCGGTGCCCGCTAGTGGCCAGCCAGCAATGGTGGAGAAACATTAGACAATATCTGAGAGTGCTTAGCCGGATATGAGAAATGATATTCCGTTTCGCATGAGTTCGAGTATTCGGAAGTTATGAGAATGCTGATGCCATATACTGATTACTAACTACTGCAGACGGGTGGTACTACAGGCATAGCCCTGACCTGACCACGATTGCTGCGTGCATCATTGTCATCCTCATCATCATCCTCGTCACCACAGCCGTTCTATGTATCACTGTCATCATCTTCATCATCATTATCACAACATCACCGTCATATCCATCAGCGTACGTAGTCACCATCAATGCATCATCACCACTACCATGGCCACAACTATCGTCCTTGGCATCATGGACAATGTCCTCGTCACCATAGCCATCACTATCGTCGTCGTTATCATCATCATCATCATCATCGTCATCATCACCTTCATCATCAGCATCATGGCCACCACCATCATTCTCGATTTTTCGTTACCATCAGTCTGCTATAAGCGTCCTTTCCGACCCCTTCATCGCAGCTGCTGCCACCCTGGCAAACACGAGCGATTTTGTCCCTCCCGAATGCTTCTTCCCCTCGATCCAGGCAGGCTTCACTCCCAAGGACGAGCAGAGTGCGGAGACGCTCGTCTTCTCGGAGAGCTTGTAAAGGGCTACTAGGAGGGTTCTATGCGGGTGATGGATGAACATCAACCGGAATTCAGCCGTCATTCTTGATCTGACAAGAAGGTCGGTTCGGCCGGAATTGGAGATTCGTGCTTCCAGTCGAGATCGCGAAGCACCGTTAGGCAATTCTCTTGAGACAGTCGTCAGGTACACACAGTCGTCGTTGAGGAATGAGGGAGTATGTTTCATGTGAACGGGCTGGAGTTTGCAAAAAGCAGACGCAGTGGGCTTGCGGCTTCTTCACTGTTGTCCCCCCTTTTGCGACTCTTGCTGCTCCTCGTACCAATAGCACTCGCTCGAGAGCAGGCAGAGGCCGAGGAAGGAAGAAACCTGTTGGTGCTACTGCTGGCTCCCATTGCTGCCGCGCTGCACCTCAAAACCAGAACAACCACGGGAACCATAGGCGTAGCCAAGCCCTGGTCAACCTCTTCTTCTGGCCCCAAGCAGAGGTAGTAGCTTAGCAGCAGCTGCTGATACCCAAAGTAAGCTGCAACTGTCCAAGGAAAGACCCGGAGAAGCTTCCGGAAGCCGTGCGGCTCGCATGGGGCCGAGTCTCAAGACAGGTTCAGGGTTTGAGAGTGAGGGGCTTTGGAGGGAGAGGGGATGGGGATGAGGGTTGTGAGTTTAGAGGTTGAGGATGGTTGAGGGTTTCGGGCTTTGCAAAGGATGTCGCTTGTTGCGTACAGCAGCTCCGGTGGTCGCCTTTAACTTCTCCAGCGAGGAGGTCGTGAGCAGGTTCGGGGCAGAAGGACTGGGTCTGCTCGAATCCGCATGAAAGGGCTTAGTAACATTAATAACAATAATGATAGTAGTAATAACAAGAATAATAAGAATAATAAGAATAATAAGAATACGAATAAGAATAATAAGAGTTATAGCTGAGAGGAGCTCTCCGGTAGAGGATCCCCATCTCCCGGAGGTCCGAGCTTTGCAGACGTCGGAGGCGGCCCTGGACAAGGCTCTGAAGGGGTGGAACATGGGGGGAGAGGTGGGATGGAGGACTTGAGGCAGGTCTGGTTTAGGCCGTTGAGGCTTGAGGGAGCATGGCTCAAGGCTTTGAGTTGATCCAGCACTGGACTGTCTGAGGGTTCGGGGATTCCAGGCGTTTGAGCTGTTCGAGGTGAGCGATTCGACCGTTGTGGGGGGCTTCGCGCAGTGCTTGACCGGGCTCCCTAAACCGCAACGAAAAAGCTCTTCAGCAAAAACCTTGGTCGTTACGCCTCAAACCCTAAGCCTGCATGCCCTCAACCCCCGTAGCCTCAACTCGAAAGCTCCAGAAACCCAAAATCCACAAAGCCCCTCCAACCCTGCTGAAGCCCCGCCCAAACATATTTTTCCAATATCTTAGACCGAATCCCAAACCTCAAAATCCCTGCAGAACCCCCAGCTCCCCCCAATTAAAGGCCCTGAGCCTTCCATGTGGGAGGCTTCGGAGGGGCGTGCAAAGCTCCGCCTAATTGGGGACACAGAAGTTCGCATGGACCAAACGGATGCCTCAGGCGGATGGCGGTTTGGAAAGTTGACGATGCGGTAACAGGTAAAGATAGTCACATAGTATAATTAGTAAGTAGTTTCGTGTAGAAGCAGTAGGTTGTCGTACCATATTTTGCAACAGGATAGAATGAGGCCTGATGTAGTGTATCGCATACTGTTTTCCAGTGCAACATCGTGCACTTACTCGCGGTCAGCTCTGGGCCCAGGATTGAGGCCACTCCGAGTTCGGGGTTCGGATTCAAGGTCGGCGGCTGGGTCTACGGTCAGGATCTGAATCTCGCAGTGGAACAGGGTCGTCTGGACTATCGGGTATTTCCTGCCGCGCTTGACCGAAAAAGAATGGCATCGACAGCTGCACCAGTCTGACCATCCGGAGTCCTAGTCCTCCGGCTTCAGAGCTCGATCTGTGCAACCCCCTCTTCCTTCTTCCCTTGTCTTACACCGAAACGAATCTGAAAGCTTCAAGCTGCCTTGAGCAACACTCATGCCCCGAGCGCTTGAGGGGGCGCCTCCGGAGTGCTTGGATGCATAAACAACGATTGGGAACCAAGCTAAATGCCCCGAGACCAATCGCAACACCCTGAACCACACCTTAAAGTCGACTCTTCCAGGGAAGGCTGAAGACCAGCCCCAGAGGCGACCGGCTCCAGAAGGGAACGTGGCAGCCTTATCGAACCGTTCTTGCAGAATTTGAGGATTGTGGAATTTTGGGTTTCTGTCTTTGTGTTTGATTGTTTTTTTTTGGGTTTTGGGGTTTGGTGGACACTCCATACCCGAGAAGTAGACACGCCCCGAACATCGCTCAAACTCTAGCCTAGGCCTAACCTCCTCCTCCTCCGCCTCCTCGTCCTCGTCCTCTAACTCCGCCTGCGCCTCCCTCTCCAGCTGCTCCTCCGGCTCCTTGTAGCCGTCTCTGTACTGATCTTTACGGTTGTCAGAGGCTTGCAGAGATGATCCGAAGCAGAAGCCCTGCTCAACCCGAGGCGCTCGATGCAAAGCAGGCGGCCTTCTGCTCGAGTTTAGGCTTTGGAGTTTATGCGTCGAGGGTTTGCGCCGTCTTTGACAGGCGGTGGTGACACGTGATAGTTATGACCAGGACCGTGGTGGGAGTAGTGACAGCGATAGTGGTGGTATGGGCTCAGATCGTGACTCCTGCAATGCCTCCATATTGATATGCACTGCCGCAATCATGGCCATCGCCACAGTCATCGTCATCGTCACGACCATATTCAGACTCAGGAGCACGGTAACCAGAACAGGTAAGGTGTTACACGTTCAGGAATTTGTTAATGCCGAAGCCAACTCCCGCGATCCTAAAGCCGACGCCCGAGCATTCTCGAAGCTACACTGGTGTGGGAGTTCTCAGGTACAGCCAACGTTTTCCATGCAGAGTGGGATCTGCAAGGGCCACACATATGCAAGCCCGAAGAGCCAGCCCGACAAGCCTGACCCCAAACCACAAGCCCAAAATCCTCAACCCTAAATACCCAGAACCGTGAACCCGAAGTCCTAAACCCCGCAAAGAGCCCTAACCCTTAAAGCCGAAGTCCTAAAACCCCAAAGCTGCCCTAGCCTTGAAACCAGAACCCTAACTTCATGGCGTCTTTTGTATGAACCTTCATCCGCTTCTGTAAGGATGCCTCGGGAGACGAGGAAGGTGAGGAGGAGTGCCCGGAAGAAGATGTAGAGCAGGAGCCACCTGTTGCAAGTTTCTGTAAGGCTTCAGATAAGGTTTTTTATGAGGCTTCTTGAAAGGTTCTATTTCGGGTTGTTGTCAGGGTTCCATAGCGGGCTCCTGTAAGGGTTTGCAGGGTTTATTGTAAGGGTTTGGCAAGGGCTGCTAAAGGTTTATGGTTTCGGGTTTTCGGGTCTACCGGGGTTTGGAGTTGAGGGCTTGATGATTAGGGTTTCGGGTGGAGGATTTGGGGCTTAGGTTTGAGATCGGGGATGAAGGTTCCACAGAGAAGCGGGCATGTTCAGGGTGTAGTGCTGTCCTTGTGGCAAAAAGCTTCAACACACCCCTCGGAGGCACAGCTTTTGAAGAGGCGGACCTAGATCCAAAGCAATTTCAGGGATCAAAGTACAAAGCCCTCATAGGATCCTTTGCAGGAATCCCCAGCATCGAAAACCCAGAACCCCAAGAACGCCCGCTTCATATTCCTTCACAGTAATCCATATGGAACCCTTATAGATCCCTTACAGTTACCCTGGTAGAAACGCTAGCAACAGATCTTGGGAATCCTTAAAGAACACTTACCGATAGGAATCCTTACAGAACTCTCATAGGAACTTTATATATGTCTAAGTATAGAGCCCTACAGGAACTCTACTCCCTCCTATTAGGAATATGGAGCCTTTTCCGCACTTAGGCCACGCTTTTCAGAACTCTTTCAGAACCGGGATGGTAACCCTGCCAAGGAACCTGATAGGAGCCGCTACAGAACCCTCACAGGAGGGAGACTCCTTGTAGGAACCCAGCTACCCTGATGGAGCCCTCATAGCCGCCGTAGTGTGGTACAGAAGCTCTTAAAAGGGAGCCCCACAGTAACCCCTCCAGTAGGTGTTCTAGTGGCCCAAGCAACAATCTTTATGACCCTTCTGGGAACCCTCATCGAGATCTTAGGAACCCATATAGAGCCCTTGTAGTAACCCGGTACTAGCCTTTACAAGCCCTTCTAAACCGTTGTACAACTCCTAAAAACCGCGAATCGGATCCCTGTAGTAGTTGAATCCTAGTAGGAAACTCCTAAACCCGAAACCCTAAACCCTAAACCCCAAACCGTCCAGGACGAGGAGATGCTCGAGCGAGCGCAGCAGCGCTTCGCCCGGGGGCCGCGGTTGGAAGACCTGGCAACGGGCTCGGCTGGGCTGGGTTCTACGACGACGACGACGACGACTACTACTACTACTATTACTACTATTACTACTATTACTACTATTACTAGCGTGGTTGTCCGTGCTGGTTCCAGGGTTACTTTAGGGTTCTATAACCGTTCCACAACGGATACCACAAGGGTTCTACAAAGATTGGGTTCTAGAAGGACGATAGGCTTGTCTTGAGAGTCTGAAGTAGGGCCAAGTTTTCGGGTCAGGCTCAATGAAATCAGTATATTACCTGTGCTCTCAAGCTCGACACCCAAGCTGAAGCCCTGCAGTTTCAAGTGCGAATGTGCGGTACATGTATGCCGCGTATGCATATAGCTTGCAGTCTTGTCGAGGATGAGTACTTAGCATTTCATTTTATCTGACCTATCAACATCACCTGAATCTCGCACTCTGACGCCAAGCTGAGAATGCTTAAGCGTGAAGCCTCTAGCTTGGCACCAAGTCGAAGCCGGAAATCTTGGAACCCGAAAGCCCTCTGGCCTGAACCCCCGCAAGCCTTCGTGCTAACCCACAGCCTTAACGCTGTCAGAGCTCCGTTTTTCCACAAAGTGGTACTGTGCATTAAGGGTCTGAGGGGTGAGTGGTTGGAGTTGCTACATAAATGCCTTGAGGCTTCCAGTCCCGTGGCCTAACTGTCGGTACCAGCAGTTGGGAAAGGGCCCATCCGACAAAGCAGCCGGAAGCCTCAAAAATGGTTCTGTCCCAGAGGTCTACGGCCGGGATCGATTGCAGGAGCAGCACGGAGGTGCCCCGAAGCACTTAAGGCGTTCTGCGTGTCTTTAGGTCTGTCCGTCTGTCTGTCTGTCTGTCTGTCTGTCTGCCTGCCTGCCTGCCTGGCTGGCTGTCTGTCTGTCTGTCTGTCTGTCTGTATGTCTGTCTGTCACCCAAACACCCATGCGCACAACCGCATGTGGATGATCACAGTTTTGTTACTGCATGGGCGTTTCTGTAATCAAAAACACCAGTATGAATATGTATCAATGATTCAGAATACCTGAGCCGAAGCAGAAATACCTAATGACAAACACACACACACACACACACGCACACATTTTTCATACCTAGAAAAGCAATGTAAACAAATATGTTTAGATGTACATGTAGAGACATATCCATCCGTGTTTCCACGACTTTATACTTATCATGCCTCTGTTACAGTTCGCCAGTTATGACTACTATTATTCATCTGGGTAATATCAATTGGGTTGATACAGGTATCTCAAAGCCTCAGACCCGAGGGTTTGAAGGATTCAGGGTTTAGGTAGTTACGGGTAGGCTTGTGTCCAATTCGCGCCAAACTTACTTGCGAAACTAGGGGGCTTTCCTATCAGGGTTCCTGCAAGGGCTACTGCAGGGACTACTGGAAGGGTGTCTTGAAGGGTTGCTTCAAAGGGGTTAATTTCAGGGTTTTGGGATTGCGCTTTGGGGCTCAGTGTGCAGAGTCACAGAGCAAGGTTGCACGACTAAAGGGTTTAGGGTTCAGGAGTTCAAAACTTAAACCCTTAATTTGAAACCTGCAGCCGATAGAAGCTTGCAGAGCACTCCTCCCGCAGCTGCCACACCCGGCTCAAGAGGCTCCTCCCACGCGAAAGAACCCTGCACCCCAACCGCCTGAGCCCTGAGACCTTTTCTGTCCTGACAAGCAAAGCCAGCAACTTCTTTCTCCGAAGATCCTACACCCCTAGCATCCTAAACCCCTTAAAGACCCTGAAACCTCAAAACCCCAAAAGACTCTGTCGCAGCCCTCCAGGGAGCGCTTCCTCCAAAGATCCGGGGACGCAGGGCGGCCACGGCCCCACCGACCACGCCACCGTCCCTCTGCGCCTCGGCAGGTCTTTGATGCCTTTCAGGGTTTAGGGTTTTTCAGGGTGGGGTTACTGTGAGTGTTCTGTTAGGTTCCAAGAGGGGTCTCGTAAGGTGTTTAGTTTAGGGTGAACAAGGTCAGGGCTTTTCAGGGTCTAGGGATCAGGGTTTCGGATTTCGCAGAGACCCACACCCCAATTCTGAGTCCTCAATTCCTGAAAATCCGTTGACCTAGGACGCCCTATCCGTCCGATCCAACACGGGTGCTCATCCTCGAATCTGGGCCCCAGCCCGGTATCCTCTCCGACATTCTTCGATTAGAAGCCCTCCGAAGTCAGCACGTCGAAGTCAGAGGCGCCTATAGGGCTTGAACACCACCCTCCCGTTCCTGAAGCCCGCTTGTCCCCCGAGGTTTGACGAGGACGACGAGGAGGGCACGGAGGACGCCCCTACCTCGAGGCGTTGCCAAAAGATGCCCTGACATCCTTATGACTGTTGTTTCCCTTGCATTGCACGTGCTTTCGACTGGATATGCTTGATCACTGACATGGTCGGCTGCGACATGGACTGCATGATCTGGCACTGGAGGCGCGCAGACCCTGAGTGTAGCCTAAACCCCTCGCACCAGGCAGCCAGAGAGCCAGAGAAGGCACTGGGCTCTGGCTTGGAAGGTCTAGGCTTTCATGTCTGCGATCATCGTTACCAAGTGCAAGAAGTACAGCAGTACGTTGCACTGGAAGCAGCAAACTCTCGCACCTGGACCTGGAGACGAAAGCGGAAAGACCGGGGAGCGATGATGTAGGCGGAAACTGGTGGGAAATCGACTTTCAGATAGAGATACGGACATACGATAGAAAGACAGAGTGGGAGAGAAGACGGACCTGTGTAGTCCCCATGCAGTCCACCAGCACCAACCCAGCGTGACAAGGAAGAATCGAGGAGAAGCGTCTCCAAAGACCAAGTGCAGCCACTGGCACCGGCTCATACCAGGACTGACAACATTTTCGAAAATCCTGGCAGAACATGCTGACACCAGCCCCCCATGAACGAACAAAAAGGGAAACAGGGAGAGAATGGAGGGGAGCAAGGACTTCTTGGATAGCAAGGGCGACAAACCGCCAGAAAGCCCCGCACATCCCAACAAGAAATTCGGGTTTAGTGTTTCTGGTTTAGGTTTCAGGGTTTCGGGGAGAGGAGACGGATCTCCAAGAACTTGGCAGAGCCAACAAGCGATTCAGGAAAGACTCGACAAAGGCCCTTGTCTTTGAATAGGCACTTCTGTAAGCTGTTGCTGTGGCCAGCATCGTTGACTATAGTGGTTGTGAAACGAGCTTCCGAGCACCCGCATTTGTCAAAAAAAAGCAAGATGAAGGGGGATAGTGGGAGAACACTGGGAAGCCGGGCATGGGAGAAAGGTTGACAAGCCAACGTCTTAGCCTTGCAGCGCGAGATCCCGAGAGTCACGCCAAGCATGCTGATGTGTTGTTGCGTTTCCCGTTTCATCTGCAATTCGGCGACGATGACGGCTGCGGTGGTAGTTGATGCTGAGGCAGTGACGGCGAGTCGGCGGATTTCAATCTTTATATGCTCATCTGCTAATTAGCATCTTGCCGAACCGTACGTCGGGGTTTGAGAGTCGTGTCTTGTCTTGGCTCCTCTTGCCTCGCATCATTTTGTGGATTGGTCTTGCCGCCCCTCGCTTCTCACGTCCCTGTCAGTGCGTTCATGTAACCTTTCACGGATTGGACAGGTTGCTGGGCAATGTGGGCGACTCCAACGCTTTGGACACCGCCCGCATGCCAGTTTTGCCCGGGCAGGCCGGGGACTCACAGCCTTGATGAAGACATCTGCATCGCTCCTCTTTCTGCTGTGCTGGTTCTTCCTATCAACCTTACAGCCCCTTGAGGTTCTTGCAACCGCCCTAATGCCCCTGAACTTCTCCAAGTACCCCTAGCCCTCGGCCCCAATCTTCCCCAAACCCTTAAACTTCTTCCTTGGCAGGAGAAGCCTTGGAGCGAAGAGCGGAAAGAGGAGCTGAAGGCCCAGCAAGCTTTGCTGCGAAAAGCGGGCGACGAGTACTCACGGGCTAGCACCAAATCTCAAGTAAAGGTGCTAGTGGCAGTAACGGTTGCGACAGTGGTACTCACATGATCAAACATGTCGCGAGAGGTACAAGCATAATTGCCATCATGCCGGTGACAAGCGTCACTTCGAGATGTATGTACGGCGATTATAGTGTTCCGGGTGATATGGTGCCTGATGTGACCAAGTGTTCAACACTTGCCGTTGCTTTTGGTTGACATTTCATGTCACAGACCCTCTTTGCGACACCGGGAGGGTAGGGTTGCAATCAGTATCTGCTTTGCTCGAGCTGTCGAAGGCTTGACAGGGCTGTTGTTGGGAGGGCATCAGGTTTGGGTTGGGTTGTGTTGGGTGGTGGATGTCGGGTTGCCTGTGCGCCTGTGTTCGGGTCTTCTTGATGTTGAGACGGTCAGGCGCAGAGGGAGAACCTAGTTGGGATTCGCGGTTTCTGGTGGCTGCAGCAGGTTTCAGTAGCCCGGCAAGAACAGCTTACATCGGTTGTCGGGTTGTGTTGCTGGCGATTTCGGTTAGGAGACAGCCTGTTTGCGGTCACGGCTGGACCTACACCAAAGTTCGCCGTGGACAGATCTTCACCTGCTCAGAATTGAATCATTGCAACTCGCTGCTTGGATTGATTGCAACATCGGAGGAAGTGATTTAATACTCGTGGGCGCCATGCATGGATCCATTGCATGCCAAAAACTTTACACTAGAGTTCTTGGCATGTAGTGGTGTCTTTGACTCAATTGGTCAGCTTCATCGCGCTGTGAACGAGAGCTTAGGGCTGTTGAGCCAGGAGCATTTCAGGATTGGAAGCTATTCCGGCCTTGCGGCAGTTGGAGTTTTAGGGGTTCAGGTGATGCGGGTGCCTGAATCGTCAGTAAGAGATCCCGAAAGCAGAAACCACAACAAACCCCCAAAGCCCAAAACCCTTAAAAACCCTCAGCACTGTAGGCCCCCTCCCCCCGCCCCCCCTGTCCTGTGTGGCTTACATTGGGTACTATCGCCACCCGGAACCATGGGTTTTCGCTTGTATGGTGTTGAGCGCAGACAAGCACATGGTTATCATATTCCCCCCCCCTCCCCCCACCCCCAAAGCCGCGTGTCGCAATGGTTCCGACTTCAAAAGAAACCTGTACAAGGCCCGGAAGTTCATCACAGGCGCGAGGCTCGGCAACTGCGCCGCTGGAGTTGTGCCTGGGAGGGTCTGGGATCACAGGTTTCAGGCTCTGACTGTCCCTCAGCCCCAGGTTCAAGAACTCCACCCTGCTGAAATGGTGGTTATCAGAAGAACAAGTCTCGTAATATTGGTGACATTCATTAATATCAACAGCAAGAAGAAGAACGGCAACAGTAGATAATGAGGTTACTCACAACAACGATCGAACGGTTGAGTTGCATCGCGTTTGTTCTGCTAGGGTTTCTAATTTGGCAGCTAAATGCTGTAATTCTGCAGAAATAACTAGCGACAATATCGGCAGTGGCGGCAGTGATGATAGTAGCCCTTGTCACCTGGTAATGCCATGGCAGCCTTAATGACCTTAATGTTCATATTTTGCTCAGCGTCATCGTCAGCAACATCGCCTCAGTTCTAGTAGCAGCAGTAGTCGTACTTGTAGCAGTAGTTGTCGCCGTCGTCGGTGTCGCCACGATCTCGTCGTAGTGGTAGTGCTAGTGGTGACGTAGGTGGTAGTAGTAGTAGTAGTAGTAGTAGTAGTAGTAGTAGTAGTACACACACACACGTCGCACAGTCCAGGTGCTTGACGAGGGA